AATCCGAGGAGCACTACCTCCCTCCGAGGCAATTCTCCCATTCTCCCAGGCTCCAGCTCTTCATTCGATCAGCCAGGAATCATTGGTTGAGCCTCTGGCACGTATGTGCCAGGCACTGCGCTGAATGCCGGTGAAGAAGAGAACCTTGAGGAGCCGCCAATCTAACACCCTGGTGTCTAAGCTTGGGATGTTCCTCAGAATCAGCTGTGGCACTTGAAAAACTCGCAGGTGATTAAAAGCCACCGCAGACCTACCTACACCTCTGTACAGTCACAAACTCTGAGACTAGGGCCCCAGAAGCTACACATCCAAAAAGCTCCATTTCATGCAACCACCTTGGGGAGCAATCTGGCGACACCTAGTAAAGCCCCAGATGGGCACACTCGGAGAGCAGCACTTTCCTTTCGAGGCCTACATCCTGGAGAAACGAAGGCACGTGTGCAAAGAAGACAGGCGTGAGCACGTTCATGGCAGCACTGTTTCCAGAGAAATACACCGCCTTTCCAAAAGAACTTCCGAAAGCAACTGGGTAAACAGGAAAACTCTGTAAGTCCAGCCTCGCTGTCGTTCTCACCGGAAGAGGCCCCAGACGCCAAAGCCAATTTCAATGAAACGAAGCATGAACCACATAACTTGAACTGGGAGGCCTGGCCCGCCCGGCGACGTATCACGAATTTACTCTCAACACTCAATGTATCTTCTCCCTTCTAGTCTGTAGTCTTGTCGCTGCAAGTCTTCAGCCCCTTCCTATCACTCCGTCAACCTGTATCTTCCATTCCACCCCTACCGTTCTCAACTTGTTCTCTGGTCTCCCCACTTTCCCCCTGCATCCTCCCTTTCCCTATTTTCAGACAAAACCAATGCAATCCTGACTTTCAAGCCCCGGAAAACTGCCCCGGAGTCGCTGGATGAAAAACAACCCAGCACAATAAACACACGAAAAGATGTCCAGCCTCATTAGTAAACAGGAAAGTGCACATTTTAAACCACAAAGATCCCACTTCAGACTGGCAAAACATCAAGTCTGACAATGTCGGGTGTCTGAAAGCACGTGCGGCCGCTGGCGCTCCCCAGCGCTGCTGGTTGGAATGCAAATCGGCACGACTGCTTTGGAGAGCAACCAGGCAATATGTTAAGAGTTGAAGATGCCCATTTCCTTTGACCCAGCAATCTCTCTTCTACGTATATGCCGCAGAGAAACTTCAAACATATGCACAGGGAGACAAGTTCAAAATGTCATGACAAACAGAAAAGTGTAAAGCCAAGTGCTTATCAACAATAAAGTGAGTATATTGTAGCATACGCATGGAAAGCAGTTAATAACCTAGAATCACGTAGACTTTAATGGATGAATCTCGAAATCAGAGTTTTTTGTTTGTTTGTTTTTAATGTTTATTTATTTTTGAGAGAAAGAGCACGAGTTAGGGAAGGGCAGAGAGAGAGGGAGACACAGAATCTGAAGCAGGCTCCAGGCTCTGCTCTGTCAGCACGGAGCCCAACACGGGGCTTGAACTCACAAACCGCGAGATCACGACCTGAGCAGAACTCGGACGCTTAACTGACTGAGCCACCCAGGCGCCCCTCGAAATCAGAGTTTAAAACAAAAGCAATCTCACTATCAGGGAGCATGTTTAAAACATGAGGAAGTGACACTACATGTGGTTGATGAACATACACGTATCTAGTAAAAGTATACAAACGGGATAAACACCAAATGCAGAATAGCGGTCACCATCTGGAGGAGGGGGGAGTGAAATGAGGAAGGGTTCGCCTGTATTTATATTTTATTTCTTCACTGGGTGGTGGATGGAAACACACGGGCATTCACTCTAGTATTCTCCGTGTTTTTCTGTGTGCCTGAAATTTACCACCCAGGTAAGCACCTGAAGAGGAGTCCCAAGTCTGAACAACTTTAAAGCATTTTCAGGCTCTGCAAGTGGCATGAAAACTGGACGGGCGGGAGAAGAATGGACCGACAGGTGAAACGTGAAGCTTTGGGAACCAGCAAGGTTTTCATCCACACGCTCTTAAAAATATCCAGCACAAATAACCATTCTTAAAACTGTAGTAACATCTCATGTAGAGGACTTATGACATACCCAAAATTCTTGGCAACAATCTCCGAACACAAACATTCCAAAAGCCTTTAATGCCAGGTTTGATTGTTGATACAGAATCTATTTGTCTCAAAAAAGTATCTGCTTGTTCATGTTGGAGTGGCTTTTTCTCTTAAAAGATCAGCAAGGCCTTTCAAACCCTTAGATTAGCATTGGTTTCACCACAACTGCAATTTAATCTGCATTAAAATATTTGGTCCAGAGCACTAACTAGACTAAAATACACCAAACTCTTCCAGTCTGTTTGCTTTGGGCTAGCTCCATGAGAAGGCTAGAGATAAAACCACCCAGAGACACCTTTTGATGATACCACAGAATTGAACACGATTATAAAGCCTGAAGTCATTCAAACAAACAAGCTGGGGAAAACGGAAACATGTGACTATAGATTTCTCTTAATTGCTAAGAGAATCAAAATCGAAAAATACTTTCAATTACAACCCCAAATACCCAAATTCCACATTAGGTTAAAAAATAAATAGGTTTGGAGGCGGCTGGGTGGCTTAGTCAGTTATGTGACCGACTCTTGATTTCGGCTCAGGTCATGATCTCGGGTTTGCGGGTTCAGGCCCCACGTTGGGCTCTGTGCTGATAGCACAGAGCCTGCTTGAGATTCTCTCTCTCTCTCTCTCTCTCTCTCTCTCCCCCCCTCTCCCTGCCCCTCTCCCACTCATGCTCTCTCTCTCAAAATCAACATGAAAAGAAAAAACAGGTTTTATTCTGTGTGTGAACTGGAAACACAAAGTTGATATCTAGAAAATAATATTATAATCTATAACGCTAACTAAATATTGGCATTCAAGTTTGTTTTCATACAGGAATCCAAGAAAAAACAGAGAAAAATCTATAGGCCTAATTGTCAGGTCCTGATCCAACACAAACATCTACATAACTAGACCAAGAGGCCAGAAGATGAGAATTTTTTTTAAACCTCAGCCCACCCCACCCCACCCCACCCCACCCCAGGCTGCAATTTCTAAACTCTGACCACTATCAGAGTAGACCCTCACACATGACTTTAAAGACCCCTCGCTGATACATTAAACTGAGTCTCCAATTCTCTTTGGGAAAGGGAAACAACAGTAACAGTACTAGAGGAAGAGGTAAGTTAGGTCTTCTCCCATATTATAAGATGTACATACTTTCTGAATAGTTTAAAAAATTTTTTCCACCTCGTCTCAAAATACTGCCTCAGGCAATTGACTTAGCAAGATAAAATGATCTCTATAAAATTCTCTAGCTCTGTTCCAAATTGCTACTCAATTTACTTTCCCTTCATAACAAGGTGACTTCATTTATTTAAGACAATTCAAATACGGCACGCACTATGGTGTCCAATAATATCCTGGGACTGTTCAATGAATACAAAAATGCTAGTATGTGGTAAATTCCACACGGTTTTAAATAAGCTGGTTTGGTCCTCAAATGGTTGCTAACCAATTAGGAGATGGAGATTTTTTATAAAGACTCTAAGAAATACCGTTCACTAAGAAGCTTTGGACAACTCCAAAAAGTGTATGAGTTTTACAAGGTGAGAAAGACTAAGGTCCCAAGAAATACGACAACTTGTCCAAAGGCACCCTTAGACTCATGCCTAAAAAAAGACAGCCTTGGAACAGATGCCAGGTCTAAGCTACGCTACTATAAAATAAAAAATAACCCAACTCTGGTCAAATGCAAATTACGTTAAAGAAACATCCTGCTGTGTTCATCAGCCTTTTCTTTGTATTGCTTCTGAGATTCTGTTCAACGTTCATCTGTGCAGATACCACACCGTACGCAAATTGTTTCATCTTTACCAATGTTATGCCCACAAAATACGAAATTGCTGAGCTCTGTGGGGATAGGGACTCCCCTCATTCATGAAGCACCAACACATAGTTTATGCCAACCCAAACATAGCAGGTCCTCAACAAATGGCTGCTTATGCGAACGACACTGTAGTCTATTTGACACACAGCATTTTCTCTATGGTACATCTTACAGCGCTCCCAACAAATGAAGATTCAGTGATTCAGACCAATTTGCATCGGTACAAGTCCCATTTCTAGAGGGCACATTTGGTTTCTCCTAACAAATGCTTCCTCTTTAGAAAATTTCTCAAGCTCTTCAAACTGAAAACAGGAAAAAAAAAAAAAAAAAAAACCCACACCAAACCTTTTCATTCGTCGAGCCATAAAAATACACAGGAAGTTAAATCCATTGATCTGGATAAAAATCAGAGGATTATCAACGAGGGACATTTCCTCATGCTTGGCAGCAGCTAGTACATTTTAAAAATTACAACACACCAGCCAAACAAGCTTTACTCTCTCTGAACCAGATGCGCGGTGTGGCGAAGCTGACACAAGCAAGCTGATCAAGAATCACTACGGCAGGAGTTCACATGGAAGTAAAATGAAAACAAATAGGAACTAGCATGAAACTTCCAAGAGACGATAAAATTTCAGCGGGCAAGGACACAGGCAGAGGGGTGTGGATATTCTCCAAAACGCCCGTATCTAAAACCGGCATGAGAAGTGCGGGGGAAAGAGAAGGTGATCATTTCTCAATCGCATAAAGGATTTGCTCCAAGTTTAGTTTCTGCTCTGTTGGATCCTTTCTTGTCTGGTAGAGGAAACAAATCTACTTTTCAGTGCTAGGTTTTGGCTTGTTCAAGTCTTACCTGGATGGATGGTATCTTTTAACACCCTTTCTAGACACATCAGCCTGTTTAAAATATGCCAAACGACCTGCTTAAAAAAAAAAACAAAACGAAGCTGCCACTTGCTCTTTCTACAACTACTCAAACCAGCGAGGACCTACCCACGTTCAGAGTGGAAAAGACCAGTCAGAGCCCCAGAGAGAAGCTAAATAGTGAAGAGAGATTCAGACAACACCTACCTGGAAACAATTCATAATCGTGAAGAATTTAAAGGGGGATCCGGTGCAAAGGTACGTGCGGCCAGGTGAAAAGACAGCACTCGCCTCATCAGCAAGCCTTTTCGTGTGGGAAGGAAGGCTGGGAGGGACAGGGGTGATCTGAGCAGCCTTTTACAAGGGGCGGGGTAAAGGACTCCCATCCCAGCCTTCCCATACAGTTTCTCGGCTTGGTTTGCATAAATGATCCTGGAGCTCGTTTACAGCAGTGGTTGCTTCCACCAGGTCCAAGAACGCATCACCTTCATTGGTCTTTTAAACCATTGGAAGGTGCCATAATAGTGAAAAAGAGCTTAATAATAGCAGCTGCCCCTCACTGAGGACTGGCCAGGTACCAGGCCGTGTAGTGCAGGAGCTCATTTAATACAACGCCTGATGAGGTAGGAGCCACTGTCATCCCCTTTTGCTAGATAAGGAAGACAGCAACTCGTTCAAGGACAAAAAGCGGGCACATGTTAGAGCCAGGACTTGCACTCGCTCAAGACAGTGTCTAAACAGGAGCGGAAAAATCCTTTTTTTAGGAATTACCGGATCCTCATTTCACCCGGGTGATGATGCTAATAACCCTGATACCTTTGCACTTACGGTGTCGACTCTCCAGACACAGTACTGGCCTGTACCTCTCACGTCCTCCCTGCAGTCCGCCTCCCTGAGTTTTACTGGAAACTGGTTGTGACATTCCACCCAGGTGTGCCAAGAAGCCCCAGCAGCACGGAGGGGTGGGGGGAGGGAGGAAAGCTGGAGGCTGGCTTCCTCTTGGGACATGTAAGCTCTCAAGTTCCCAGCCTACTTCAATACAGAGAGGTGTCACCACATCCAAGCAGGAGAGGAACGCCACCAAGGGCTGGGACCATGCCTCACTGCCCTGTAAGCCCGAGGCCACACAGCAAGCACGGGAGAGTATTAGAGCTGCTCTGGTTTCACAGTTCCCCTCAGGAGCTGGTCTTCGCAGAGAGAGTAACCGAGAAGAAAGGCATCACCTTTCACTGCACCAAGCAACGTTAATGCCACTCGACAGGAAGGAGCAGGAGACCCATCTCTGCGTGGAGAAGTAAGGAAAAGGGAGGAAATGGAATGGCTCCAGGGGCCACCCACCACATCTAACTGGTCCTGCGCCAATACCTTTGCAGCTATCACTCTGGGAAGCCCCAGCCTTTGCTCTGCTGGCCAAGGCAGCAGCGACGTCCAACGGTGCTGAAAACCGAAGCCAGGGCCAGTGGGTCCTGATTCCACCCCTGAGCTAACAACGAGGGTTCCGTAATGCTCCTTGAACATGTGTTAATCTTGTAGGAGAATGTGGGACAGAAGATTTAAAAAGCTGTGTGATGGGGGCAGGGTAGCCAGATCACCTTACCCCAAGGCTTCTCAATCAAGCCTTCTCAGATTCCCTTTGGGGGCCTGTATTATTAGCTTCAAGGGAGGTTCTCCCCCAACTGGCATTAAAAGAACACATGTTCCAGCTTGTGGGGGGGGGGGGGGATGCTTTGATGGAAGGGAAGGGGACCCTGGAGAATGGAAGCAAAGCACAGTCTCTCACCCTGCACAGGAGGGCAATGCCTTACGCCAGGGGTCAAGCTGAGGCTTTGCAAAGCTCTGACAAGTGGGGGGTGCCAGCAGGACGCACCCTGGGCACCCAAAGGGCTGGAGGCTGTTCCCACAGAAACTGAAAAGGTAGGGAGAGCCAAGGGAGAAACCCAAATTGAAGTGAGCACCACATCATGGACCCAGCCCCACCAGAGCCCAATGGCGTCCCCTTGCTGCCCTGCGCCCCTGCTCACCAGCCTCTACTGGGTCTGGCAGTGCATCTGGCAGGATAACCCTGGAGACCTCCTCCAGGCCCAAAGACCGCCCCACCCTCTGGGCCTCCACGCGTTACCGCCAATAACCTTGACCCTCCTTCACAGGTGGGGAAATTGAGGCATCCACCACAAATTACCGTGCTTTCCCAACCAGGTAGAAGTTCACTTCTGCACCTACAATTCTGCACTTCTTTACAGCTTTATTGCATTTCAAATTTCTCCAGATACAACCGGCTGCCTTTGCAAAGTGAATTTTAAATACAGTTGAAGGAGTGAACTCAAAATGAGATGAGGGCGGTCAGGGAGACCGGCAGGGCTTTATCTACCGCAAGGGCAGGATGGGTGCCTCCGATCCCCGGCATATCCCCCCAACCCCCAACCCCCCCCCCCCCCCCCCTCCCCCGCAGCCCGAGGGCGGAGGCACGGCGGCGCGGCCGGGCAC